GATCGATTGTAATCTAATATTTATCTTATAATAAATGAGCTCTAAAATTAATTATCATTTATCAAACTATTGAAAGAAAAAGAAAATACTTAAATTTAATAACATGATAATGGAGAATTTTTTTTATAGTGTAAGATTTGGTGTTGTGGTTGGAGATGAAAAAACTTTTTTAACACCAAAACACCAAATTTGGTGTAATTTCAACACCAAATATGGTGCCATGGTTGGAGTTACTCTTAGAACGTTTAAAAAATCAGTTATGATGAGAAAATAGGTTATCTTGACTATTTGGGACATCTTCATGTACCGCACAGTGTACATCACTGTTTTTCCATTTCTTTGTCCCATGTGGATTTTTTCATAGAGTTAGTGTTCACCAACTGCTTGCTGTCCTTGCCGATAATGACCAATAGAGATGAAGTCCATATACAACAACTACAAACTAAAACCAATAACCAAAAAAGTGGGAAAACAATACTTTTACAAAAGTTAATAAAAGCAAGAGCCTTTACTTATATGCTTAGTAAGAAGTGTTATTTGATATTAGCATATGCTTATCTTGATCTTGCCAAGTTTAGTTGAATAGATTCATGGTGAACCAAAGTTGGCTCGACGAGGAAAGGTGGATTGATATTCCATTTGTTATCCTAAATCGGTTGTGGTTGGGGTCTTCGTAGCTTGATGGAGTGAAAAAATCTCCGAACTGATACTTATTTGCCCGATTTTTCCAGGCAATAATGGACATCTTGCAGATCATGTAATGTTCATCTTTGAATTATCTCGTATGCATCTTAAAAGTATTGAAATGTTTTCTCTCCGTTTTGATCTTTTAGTCTTGTTTTATTAAAAGGTCTTAAAAATCCACAGTCATGCTTTTTTGATTTCATCTTTCTAAAAAGATTGGTTCTTAGAAGCGTTCGATCTTGTCTAAGATAGATCAAGCTCTATCCGAGCTTCGTATTTGGAAACACTTTCTTCTCCTGTGTTTTGCCATTACTTCTAAGTGATGCTCCCATGAGTTCAACTGCCTCTTTCGATGAATCTAATAGAGTTTCGAGAGTGCGCTAAGCTCAGAAAATCAATGTCACAATCTCTTAACTCTCAATTTCAATCCAATATACCAAATCAATCAACCATATGAATAAAGTTATCATATCACCTATTTAGTCCTGGATGAAGAGAAAAGACATCTACTTCTATAGCAGGAAAACAAATATAAATTTACCGAGAATGCGTTTCAGAGTTAAGGTTGCAAAGGTTGGTGCTTTCTTTGCTGAATTGAAACTTAGCGTTGCCTCTACTTGGAAAAAGAAAAATCTCGCTTACTCTGATTCTCATTCTCTTTGCACTCTCTATATGTAATAATTCTCTTGGATTAGCCTCCACGTATGCGCTCTTGCTTTCTATCTATCTTTAGTCTCGGTCATGAGCTCTACAAGAACAAAAATCAACTAATAGTTTAGAAACAACACGAAGGAACATAATCAAATTCAAATGTGATGAATCCAGTACTAAAAATAAGATAGTCCATAATCACAACTAACCTGAGCATGACACCATTCACAATTACAGGATGTTCATCTCTCTCGAATGCATTCTCGTGGTTATTGATCGAATTGTTTGACACCTTTTGTTAGAAAACCTTTCGTGGTTACTGATCGAATTGTTTGCAGACGCACCCACGAGAATGCGTCTGCAAACAATGTTAAGCTACCAGGACCTAGTAACTGCCAAAACAATCATAAACCAAGAAGAAAAATCTAAGTTATGATTGAAAAAGTAATGTGAAATAAAAGAAAGGAACAAATAAAAGGTGTGCCAAACGCTAACTAAGAAAATTAGGTTGTTGTGGACAATCACTTTCAAAAAGGACAAGAGGAAGGTCAAAACAAGAGGCAACTACCAAGAACTAATATTGACTTCTGATTTCTCCGTCGTCTTGATCATAAATCTATCATGTTGAGTTAGGTAAAAGAAACTTGCACTCTTTCCACGTGAAGATAATTCCCTAAGAGCATCATTTCTCAAAATAGCTAACATATACTCAGCTGGATCCAGTTGTAAAAGCTCCCTTAAACGTCTACAAACAAAATTACCCAATGAGAACACAGATTTGAGTATATACACATCACCAAACCTAAACATAACTCAGGCACAAGCTAAATCTGGTAAATTAAAAATTTATTGATAGGTAAAGATACCTGAACAACACCAAGGGCAAGGCAACAATCCTGCCACGAAAAATTAACGTACTGACTGATGCGGCGGGTGTAGTCTTAATAATACCTTCCGATGGAAACCTTGTCCAAAATTGTCCTTTGTATTGAAAGTGGTATGTTTAAGATCTCGAACAATCGTCGCATGTTTGCCAACATAATACTATTTTAGTGACAACCTTCATAAGAACACAACAAAGAAGCTATAACGAAAATCAAATCCATCGGATTTGAGAAATCCTTTCCATGATTCCTTATTGCAAATCCATCATCAAATCATATTTCTCTAAATATCAAAGAAGTCGATCGCATGAAAGACCATAGAGATTCTCTCTCATTCGAGATTTGGAGGTTCAAACTTGAATAGTGTTTCTAAACAACAACATTACCGGTTTATTTCGTTTGAGATCTATGCTCTGAACAG